GACGCCCAGGGTTCTGGGGCGGAGCTCTGCTTAGTGCTTGCTCCTCGTGGTGTGGTGTCTGCGCAGCCTGAGTCCCGGAGTGTCCCGGGCTAGTGCGAGACAGTGAGCGAGCGACCGAGGGAAGGTGTCCAAGTTAGAGTGATCGGAGTGAAAACTTCCTGCTCACCCCTGACCCACCCACCTTTGCCCCCAATGAGGAAAAGCCTTAATTCCCAACAGATCTAACCATGCCTTCGGAATTGCCACAGGTGGAGAGGCCAGAGATCTTGATTGCAAGAAGTGTGCACCTCTCTCTCTCTCTCTCTCTCTCTTTCTCTCTCTCTCTCTCTCTCTCTCTCTCTCTCTCTCTCTCTCTCTCTCTCTCTCTCTCTCTCTCTCTCTCTCTGTGTGTGTGTGTGTGTGTGTCTTGTGGGGAGTGTTCTTTTAATTCTCTGACTCGCTTGAGGAAGGAAGAGAGTCTGAACTTGACTTCCGTTCCCAGCCTGGAGTTTAAAAAAAAAAAAAAAAGTCCCCCCCTGTATAATTGTTTCACATTTGGTTTTCGAAAGAAGCCTGATAATCTTATGAGCACCAGAATGGTTCTTTAGAAGAGGACATGTAGGTACTAGCTAACATGTAATCGGATTTTCATGACCAGGTGCTTGACATTTGGACAGCTTTTAAACTTTTCCTTGTCAGGCAGTTCTCCAGGGAAGACAATGTATATTTTAACGTGGATAGATGAGAATAGTTGTAATAGTGACATCTATCTGTTCTTTAACACAATTTTCAGTAGCTGAAGCCATTCGCTGGGTAGATGGTCTTCCCTTAAACAAGTACTGTCCTTAGAAGAACTCCACGGTGCTTCTGTAGGAGACTACAGGCTGTTGGAGTCGAGCCCCCTTGCTGTGCCTCTGCAGTTTTGAAATAGGGAGCTTTATTTATTTATTACCAGGCGCAAACTTTCATGTTTGTGAATGTTTGATAATAGGCTTGGCTAGCCTGTGCACGTTCTTGCTTTCCTAGCTCCGACCGATGTGGCAGAGAGGAAGGTATTTAGGCTCTGGATACATAGTGTCGACTCTGCCTTAACCTTTCAGAGCTTTGACAACTGGAGAAAGGCCAGTTTTTCTGAATCAGTTTCTTCACGTACAAACTTGATTAGAGTAGGGGAGTTAGTTACACTTAGAGGGTTATTGGGAGAGAACCTTAGAGTGGCCCTTTACTATCAACTTCCCGGTCCTTGTTATTTTAAAGGCTTATTATGTAAAGGTCAGTAAAGCTAATTGCAAATAATAGATGATTGATGAATAATAGCTATTAGTTATTCATTTAGAAATATTAATGATTTGTAGTGTTAGTAGTACTGCATATTAAATAGGGACTATGCAGGTGGTTACAAGTTAGGACATCCTTAGTTCTCACAAAGACTTCGTTCCTGTACTGGTTTTCCACACTGAAAGATTTGAGTGTTTTAAAGTGGTTGTGGAAGTTTTTCTTTGGTAGGTGATGCCTCCTGACTTGAAAACATTAAGACAGCCCTGTTATTCTTTTGAAGTAGTTAAGTGGTAGGTGTAGCAATCCTGTGTATACCTGTGCAAAGCTATGTATTTCTGATTAGGACTTTATTTTATTAGACGGATAAAGGAAGAAATGGGCCCCCACATTGTCATAACCAGAACCTCAGAAGCTGCAGATAGAAGAGCAGTAAGCTGATTTTTATGGCACACATTGTTGGTTCTGACATGAGTGATGCCTTGGTGAATAGCTCACCTTCACTAGAAGAACCATCACTATGCTCCTGAAGAGAAGGGTTCTGAGGACTGCACAAAATGAATAAGGAAACTGCAGATGCTTTTGAAATTTTACACCCACCCACCTACCCACCCACCCCCCCACACACAAACACACGACCAGTTAAAACTAGTAGTTTCAAATTTATAGAGTGGTTTTATGTTTTGTAGATACAGGGCATACACACACACACACACACACACACACACACACACACACACACACACACACACACACACACACACACACACATACACACACACACACCAACACAAACACACACAATATGCATATATATGCGTATATATGTATATATATCTAGTGTAGGTGTGGGAGAGAGGTGATACTGGTGAATTTTTATAGGAAGGGGCAATAGACATGTATGAACTATTAAGAATCAACAAAGGTTCGCTTTTTTTTTTTTTTTTAACTTTTGTGTGTGTTCAAGTAGCATACCTGTCCAGGTCAGAAAACAACTTTCTGGAGTTGATTCTTTTCATTTACCATGTGGATTTGGAGTATTGAACTCAGGTTGTAAGGCTCAGTCAGTGGTAAGTGCTCTTACCCACTGAGCCATCTTATTGGCTCAAGGCTTAATTATTTTTAAATTTTAAATTTACATTAGTTAGACTACTTTAGTATTTCTAAATATATTTCAAGTTTTTACTTATGGTACTAGATTTCATTATTATAAAATTTTCAAAGCAATTACTAAATATTTTTGGTCTTTTGTTGTTGAGACAAAGTCTTAGCTCTATAGCTCTCAGGCTGTCCTTAAATAGGTTTCACATCTATTAAAATTTTAAATGGTTTGTCAAGTCAGTTTTAATGTGTTTTTTGCATGTGAACTTAATGACCAGTTAAAAATAGTGTTTGTTTCAAATATATAGAGTGGCTTTATGTCCTGTAGGTATAGGGCATTGTGGTTACCAGAGCAGGGTAAATGTTAGCTTTTAATTATCCATTATAAGTATAAATAACTCCTCACTCTATAGAGAAGATTGCTAGCCAGGGAACCTGGGAAAGTATAGTATGGTTGGAGTTGAGGCAATTGAACTGGTTGTTGAATAAGAATGCAAAGGATATTGTACCCTTATTTCTTAGAACCTACTTTATAAAGCCTTTTGCAAGGATTGGAGGAAACAAGCTAATGTGAGGAAGTGCCATCTTCTTCCCACATAGTAAACATCTGTGTGCACATACTGGAACATTATGATTGTAGGTGGACAAGATTCATCCTTCATTATTTTTAGAGTTAGTAATCAGGCAGTAGATTACAACTGATTTCATTCTGAAATTCTGACTCCATTAGGCCTCTCCTTTTTTTCTTCAGCTCTAAAAATATTTGAAACTTTGACCATGATATATCCAGTTTTCAGTCAGCCTGAATTGTACTTTTATAAATTCCTGTTTTGTGACTGAACAAGGTTCACCACATAATTCCTTCTGAACACAACCTTTGAGCTAACTCTACCTTAAGTCAGTTAATAGCTCTGTGTAGTAGTAGTTATTGTTTGCCTTGCATTTTAGGAGCCATTTTAACTTAGTTCCTCAGATTTCCTTGAGCAAGTTATTTAAGTTCTCTAAGTCTAGTTTCAGCATATGTAAAAATGAGATTATAGAACCCACCATAAATATGAAGCAAGATAGCTATTATATATTAAAGAGAGTATATTAGAATAGTTCCAAGGAGTTTATAATGTTATTTTTCTTAGATCCTGGGAAGTAGTCTCTTGAAAGTGATTTGTGGGCAGGAGGTTTATTGTGGAGTGCTCTTCATTAGTGGGAGAGGGAAGGAGGCAGGATTGGGCAGAGGGGATAGTTGACCTGTGTTGTAGGCATACCAGAGATAGGATGGTTTTTCAATGTATTTAAACTTTGAGCTGGAAGGACAGCTCCCTTCTTCCCTTCCTCCCTTCCTTCCTCCTTTCCCCTCCTCTCACATCTATTGTTGGTCATATGGATTTAGGTTGCTTCCTTGAGGTGGCCTCTCTGCTGGAGAACTTATGTGGAGAGGAACAAACTTGTTTCCTTGTCATTTTCCAGGTTCTTCTTTAGACTAGCAGTACCATTCACAAAGGGCAGTGTCTCACTAACTGTTAAATAGGTTTCAGGGCCTGAGGGATAACCACTGTATAATATTATTTTGATGGGAAGATAGGTTTTCTGAATCATGTATTAGTTTAAAAGTACACTTTTTTTGAGTATCACCAATTTTTCTATGATCAGGATTTGTATCTTGCTTTATTTTTTGATCAGTAAATACACATACCTTATAGTCAGGTTTGTAGTATACTTTAAATGGGTTGTCCCTTTTAGACTTTCATTTTATTCATACATTTATAATTATCTGTATGAA